AGAATATTGACAGTATCTTTGGGTAATAGCACTAGTGTTGTCAGTGCCTTTAAGTCTTTGGTCAGACTTCCATCCAGAAATAATAATCTGCAATTTGCCAGAATCAGAGTCTCCAGTTTTGTCAGATTGTGAAACATTATGCCCGTGTTCGGCTGATTTGTTAAATCAATGTTTTCCAGTTTTAGGGTTTTCAAATGAACAAGCTGATTGATTACAGACAAGTCTCCAATATTGTCAGAGAACATTGACTCAAATTTCAGACTGACGACTGATGGCACATATTTCCCAATGAATTCATTTTCACAGATCATATATGCAGCATTTATCTGAAGTGTGACTACAGATGTTAAAAGTAAACTATTGCAGTCCTCAACAATCACATATTGACCTTTGATGTGCAAGTTTAGCCCATTATTCAGTGTAGTATTACTCCCGATCACAAGATGCATTGGTCTCAGTCCTGAACTAATGAAAACATTACTCAAATTGCGTGGAATTTCTCGAAATATGTCAGATAAATGCAGCTTGATCAGTGACATGTTAGGAGGGAAGTTCAGATCTCCCAATAGAAGTGTCCTAAGATTAATAAGATGTCTAAATGATTCTGGCTCAATGTGAAATAATGGATTTTCATTCAGATCCAGAACCCTCAGTTCATGTAAGCCACTGAATGTGTGTTGATGAATAGAAGATATTTTGTTGCTGTGGAGGTTTAACTCTTTCAGTTTGTTCAATCCAATGAAAGCAAAATCTTCTATGACAGAAAATTTGCTCATTGCTAACTTCAAAGTTTTAAGATTTACAAAACACATAAACTGATGAGAAACTATCTTATCTATCCTAATAATTCGTAGCACCATATCAGAAATCTTTTTGACCGTCTGTGGAAATGAAGCACAAAGAGATTGAAAATCATTTGATCTGAGCACATGCTTATCTATGGTAACAGAAGTGAGGTTGCTGAAAATCTGGAAGAGAGAATTTACATCTAAGAGGTTGACAGTCTTTCCAAATATGTTATTTTCAAGCATAATGTAACCAATTTGTTTACAGCCATCTGAAATTTTAGAAGTCAGTGACAAGTTAATTGTATCATAATCAACATCTACAGACTTAACTGAATATAACTTTGCTGCTACACACAAATCGTCAACATTAAGTACATCCACTGTGGCAATTATTACACTAATTTGATGTACTCCAATTAAAGAAAGATCCCTCAGAAAATTTTTGCTTGAAACAGTAAAATACAACCTGGAGAGCTTTCCAAAAACTTTTAAAGCCCCCTCATCTACATGCTCTAACTTTCCCAAAAGCAAATCCGCTCTTTCAATATTAAACTTAGTCGATATTTCAGAGACGTTGAAAACTGAGCAGTTTGGGTATTGAAGTCTTGTTAACATTGTATTACCTAAACCAAGGTACTTCAATGATTTAACATTTTTAAGCCGACACAAAACCTCAGATAAATCCTTCAAACACTCACTGCATAAATGTAGCCATCGCAACTGTGGAATCTTTTCAAAAACATTTGATGGCAATAATGACAAACTATAGTCTGAAAGAGACAGACTGGTAAGTGAGGTCAGGCGACTGAAATCAAAAGCTACCTCAGTGCATTGTTGGGAACATGATAGTGTTAGTGTAGTCACATTCGTCAATCCATTAAAAGCTTCTGGAGGGACCTCTGATAAACATCCCACAATTTCAAGATTTTCCAAAGAACCAAAACGTAAGAATGAGTTTGGAGCCAGGACACCATGATAGCCTAGATCCGTCTGAACAATGAGATTCTGTAAGTTTGCAGGAAGTCCTCGAAGGTCTTCTTTCATGTCAGTGACACTACGGCATACAGTAGTGTTCCGTTTTCGAGGAGAGGATGTGCTAAAAGAAAATTCTTCCCCGTCACTTTCAATATGACATTTTCCAGCAAGCCAAGAACAAACATATGAAGTCTTCAGAAATAGGATGAAGAATGCAAAAAAAAGTCCCATCTTCAGTTCCTCAATAATCTTCATAGCTTATGATCTTCTTGTTCTGGCCTCTGTCTCTTGAGGTGTTTACCCATATCAGAAGATTTGAGCAAGAAATAAACTTCCCTTTTTGCGACCACATTTGTATTTACGTGTGACACATGGACAGTTTTATCAGTTCAGATGCTTATTAACATATTTAGTTAAATGTGTTAAAGGGACAGCACACTCAAATTTTAAATTCCATCACCCTATGTACTTCTAAACATGTACTTTTTTCCTATACTGTAGAAGCAACATCTCCCAATAACCCAAGACTGGTTGCTTAATGAAGCCAGGTTTGTCGGGCTAGGTAATTACCAGTGGTGTAAGGTAACACATTAGAAATGTGTAATTTACTTAGTAGTTTTAAAATGTGTACTTTACTACTTTTACTTTCCCTTGAGTACATTTTTAGTGCAGTATTGGTACTTTTACTCCCCTACTTCAACCTGCAGTCACTACTTTATTTTTTCTTATCTATGGGGATTAGAAAAATCAGTCCTGTGTTTCCTGTCCAATCAAATCCCACTTAGAAGGTAAATCACATCATACTGAACTACCTGAAGACATGCCATTTGTAATTGCAGCAAACTGCTTGGAAGCATTAAAAGTGTTCAAGAAGACGTCCAAACTCTTTATACGCATTGACCCAGAGACTGTTTAGATGCATGACAATGATGAGAAGATGATGGATGTTTACTGTCTGATGACCGAAATGGCCTTAAACACCCAGCAGGCACAAGATGTCAACGAAGTCAGATTGACGTTGTACCTCAAAGTTGTGGTGACGTTGCATTTTGTTTGGAAATGAACATCGGGTTGACATCAGAACTCAATATCAGGCCGACATTAATGTCAAACCTAAAATCAACCAAATATCAATGTCATTTCACGTCGTTATTGGACATCAAAATAACATTGTCCTTAGATGCTGGCTGGATATTGAATTTTGCTCACCTGACATCACAACCTAAATTTACCCTACTATTAACATCTTATGACGTTGTGTGCCTGCTGGGCAATAACTACAGAATGTTACGTTTACAGACATGCACAAATTACATGTAAATGCATCAGCTTTTTACAGCGTAATACTACTTATTACACTTGAGTACTTTTAAAAGGTTTACTTTTTACTCATACTTTGAGTAATATTTACAACACTTTTACTCTACTTGCAGTAGATTTTTGGCAAGTAACGGTATTTTAACTTAAGTATAATTTTTCACTACTCTTTCCATCACTGGTAATTACATGAATTAGAAACTCGAGGGGAAAACTAGGTTACTCCAGGAAGAGGTGTAGTGAGGCTAGAAGGGGGAGCTTGTTTTGCAGTTTTGTGGGCCTTGATGGTGACACTATACTGTATTGTAAAACCATACTGAAAAAAAAAGTTTTTATAAAAAACCCAAATGCGATTCAGACATAAATAGCACATGCAAAATATGTAGGACATGTGAAACATTTATTTTATTTTTTCACAATTTTTTTTAATTGTACATCCAAGTTGCATTACAAGAGTTTCACTTTTGCAATGATATATTAATATCATGTGAAATATGTTGTTTTGGAGCATTTTCATGTAAAAACCTTTTGATCATGTAAAAAAAATCTGGTTATTATGTGTGGAGAGTATGTGATCACATGAAAACTACTTTCACCTGAAAATGCTCCAAAACCACATATTTCACATAAAAATTAACCTGTAATTGCAAAATAATAATAAAAAAAATCTTGTAATGTAACTTGGGTGTACGCTTAAGAAAATTTGCTATACAAATGCTACATATTGCAGATTTATTTATTTATTTTTATATCCATAAAATGGAAGTCAGTTGACAGTTTGTTTAATTACCAACATTCTTCAAACTAAATGTCATATTCCACAGAAGAAAGACATTTAGAACATGATAAAGTGAATAATTGAAGACAATATTTTAAATTTTGGGTAAAATGTTAAGGGTAAAGCTTTGAAAGTTTATTAAACCAGTGATTGTTTGAAAACAATTCTCAACAAAATAATAAAGACACTATTTTTATTGCATAAAGATCATTAACAAATCAGATCATTTAAAAGCAATTTTCACTAGAGTTACCTTCAATCAGGATGTTACACACCAAATATAGTCAGCATAATAGTTAGGTTCAATCTGCAGCCTATTACTGTCAAAATCTAAGGTCATACATTTTAATATTCATTCATTATGTGTTTCGCATGTAAAGATCACCAACACATTTAAAAAAAACCTTTTGAGTACTTTTAATTTAAAAAAAAGGAAAATAATGGCCCATTACTCTAATGCTTATTAACATATTTAGTTAAATTTAGTCAAATACTATAGCACCCAATGCAACCACAAAGTGACGTTTGAAAAACAAATAAAAAAACAAGACATACAAATAATTTTCTTAAATTATTAACCACTACTCTTAAAACTCATTGCACTAATCTTAATATTGTAAATACATGTCTGTCAAATAATATTACAAGTTTGGGAATGTGGGCATAATATGGTCAGTTTACAGTAAACTGGCACATGCATGAGAAATACAAGGCTAAAACTGTGCTAAAGAAAGATGTTCTAGTAAACATCTGAATAAATGAACTGAAATTAGTTTGCACAAACACACATGCAAATGTACATCCTGTTTGCTGCAGGATAAATACATCAAATGGTCAACTTATTGAAAAATATAGGAAAATAGACTATTGTGAATTCACACTGAGTTTATTAAGCATGTTATATAAAAGTAAATTATTAGAAAATAGTTATTACTTTTAATTACAATAAATGTTTGAGAAAACAAGTAAAATGCAAATTAAACAGTTGCTTTCTTCTTCCTTTATATTCAGTTTTAAAAAAGTTTTAAAATGTTAAAGGCATTTTCTTTAAGCATCAAATCTAATAAACTTTTACTGAAATATTGATCACTTTGCAAAAGAAAGTTTGTAATTATCTTTAGCAACTTCACAATAAACAGAAGGAAAGTCTAGTTGGCTTTATTAGAGCTCAGTTTACACCACAACCTGTCCCAGAATGCATCATGCATCTCCGGCTCCTGTGGACAGTCCAGATAGGTCCTAGTTTTTACCAGCCGGGCCAGTCTATGATGAGAGGAAAGCAGGCAAGATGGAATGGTTTCTAGGAAGACCAGGATAAGAATGTCTCTGTGTTCTACCTGGAGCCGGTAGGTGGCCAGCTGCATCTCCAGTGAGCACCAGTTGCTATTGAGGTAGTTGCGACTGACGAGACAAAGAGTTCGGCGACTTGCATAGATGCTGTCTGTGATGTTTTCCACAATGTCGTGTCCCAACTGAAAGTCCCGACTGTGCAGACAGAGACGCAGAAATGGAGGCCCGCGCTGCTCTAAGTTTGGAAGAAGTTCCTCTATGACCCAGTGCTCATCCTTACCGCTGTAAGACACGAAAGCATCATAGCGGTACTGCTGTTTCTCCTTCATACGCAAAGCCTCTCGAAACCATCCATTGGCGATGTGATAGAATGGCTTTAAGTACTGGCCAACAAAATTATACATCAGGACCACAACAATAAAGATGCACAAAAACACAGAAGTGCTGGTGAACAACACAAAGTCAAGGTCAAATAAGCAGTTCTCCTTGACATAGCTGACAAAGTTGAGTTGGTCAAATTCATTACCAATAAAACACTGCAAATTTTGCATGCTGGGGTTTGACACGACAACCTCCACCTTCCTGTTGTCCTTCACCCACGAGAACAGCCATGCATTATCACAACTACAGTACAGATCTATGCTATCAATATGGATGTATTCCAAATGAACAAGATGTTCCACAAAACTTTGTAGAATGTTAACAGTATGTTTTGCGGAAAGCAAAAGTTTTGTCAGTGCCTTTAAGTCCTTGGTCAGACTTCCATCTAGAAAGAAAATTCTGCAGTTTGACAGAATCAGAGTCTCCAGTTTTGTCAGATTGTGAAACATTATGCCCGTGTTCGGCTGATTTGTAAACTCAATGTTTCGCAGTTTTAGAGTTTTTAAATGAAAAAGCTGATTGATCACAGACAAGTCTCCAATGTTGTCAGAGAACATTGACTGAAATTCCAGACTGACGACTGATGGCACATATTTCCCAATGAAATCATTTTCACAGCTCATATATGCTGCATGTATCTGAAGTTTGACTACAGATGTTAAAAGTAAACTATTGCAGTCCTCAACAATCACATATTGACCTTTGATGTGCAAGTTTAGCCCATTATTCAGTGTGGTATTACTCCCGATCATAAGGTGCATTGGTCTCAGTCCTGAACTAATGAAAACATTACTCAAATTGGATG